GATTTTGCATCCTTGCGCTTGGGGACAACTGTCTGAATGCAAACTTTCAACCAGCTATCAACACTTTCACAGTCAATTGCTTTTTTCCGACCTATACTTTCTTTAGCAGCTTAGTTTAGATAAAGTGGACATCAAAGACGGCGAACCGAACTTGTACTATTTGAAAGATGGGCCACCGAGAGGTTTAGTCAGAGAGGAATTTGTGATCATACCTCACGACACAATGTTACCCCCAAATAAGGAGTAGTGATTCAAAATATTTCACTGTCGAGTGATCACAATAGTGTCACGTGACCAGGAAAGTGTTGGCTTGCGGTCATAGTGACCAGGAAGCCAGAGGTATTGATCATACCTTACGACACAATGTAGCCACCTCTCTAGAAGTAAACACAATAGTGTCACGTGACCAGGAAGTTGACTGGGGATTCAAAAGTGGTATATAGAATAGCGAAGAGATTATGGCCTGATAAAAGCTTTATTTGCAGACTCTCTATTATCGCGGGCTCTCTATTATCGCTGCACGCGAAAACATCGGGAAAGCAGAAACACCACTCCCCGCATCGGCTGTTTACATATGCAAATTACGTAAAATATAGCCATCGCTCTTGAAAAAGTCGTCTGTTTCATTTGAATGGTATGTGTAATCGGAGAAATATTAAAGCATTCATCTTTTCAGTACGTTCTGGAACATTTTGAAACTAGCATGACCCCTACTGCCATTACATCTAGCATGAATCAAAACTTACTTCATCAAAAGCAATCCCGCGACAACTATAAGGTCATTTGCGTATTTTCCGTTCTAAAAATATAACAGGACGTATTTATGCAACTTCACCCTGCACACGGCAGCAACTTGTATGGTACGTTTTAAGCCGGAAAAACAATATTTTGTAACGTTATTGTTACCTTGTATCCAAATGAATAGAAGTTTCAGATATTTGGGTTAAAAACATGATGATATTACTAATGTGAATGAAATTCCTAAATATTTTTAAATGATCAAACTATTTACATTCGTTATTTGTCTTAGTAAACGTTTCACAGTGCCATCTGCTTGTACCGCGTGCCATAGTAAGAAAATAGCAATACCGCGATAATAGAGAGTTGCTTCAATTTCCGGGTCAAACGAGACAATCGGAATTGCTGCAATGGTATTAAACGAGTTGCGACCATGTGTCACATTATTTGTTACAGAAATGAAGATTAAACATCAGTCAACTGAAAATATATATAACATGCTAAATGTCAGTAGCCGTTCATAATCCCGATGGCGACAACATTAACTACCGCGATAACAGAGGGTCCCATGATACTACTCAAGAACACTAAGACATACTAAGATATGCTAAGATACACTAAGGGGGCGGTGGGGTAGCCTGGTGGTTAAAGCGTTGGCTCGTCACGCCGAAGACCCGGGTTCGAATCCCCACATGGGTACAATGAGTGAAGCGTATTTCTCGTGTCCCCCGCCGTGATGTTGCTTGAATATTGCTAAAAGCTGCGTAAAACACAACTCAGTCACTCAGTAAGATACACAAAGATATAACAAAAGGAACCTTCACATGTGATACTTTATGTCCGAAACAGTGTGCGAAAAATAGTTTCCAAATTTGAGCAAGCCAGTCGGGCTAGCTATGCCTGAAAGTTTCAAGCCCACAAAATAATTCACTTGCCCGAAATTTGAATGTAATAAACGTAGAAACTAAGCAAAAGATTACAAAACTAGATGAGAGTAAGATATTGTCGGCGTGACACGGGCTTCATCATTTATCTGTTAATACGATCAACATCTTTATCAGGCCATAACCTTGCACAATTTAATAGTGTATTATAACTTAACAAGTCGGAGAGAGTTATATATGACCCCATGAAAATTCACTGGCCAGTGACTGTGGATTTACTGGCCCGCCTGGATTTTTACTAGCGGACCAGTGGCTATTTCTAAAACATTGCGCCCACCAATCGATGGGATTGAGCTCGAGTTAAAGTGATCTCGATGGCCACTGTATTACGTCAATACCCGCATTTTGCAGGAAATATCGTGTCATTGCATTGTCGTGTTGGAAGTCGAGCCATGAACGGCTATAACCACAATCCGGACCTTTTTCATAACTTTAAAGAAAATGTTCCAATTTTAAATGCTGATGTTATCTAATCGATTTATGGAAAATATAACAATGATAAAACATATAGGACTTACCTTACAACATATACTAACACGTGCTGAATTCGACTTATGTATTAAGGCAAAAGAATTCAGGGTATGAAAATGTAACCGGCAAAATTGTTGAAAATATATACATGTAGTTGAAAATTCAAAAACAAAGAAGAACTATTCAATGTACGCTCTAACCTGGACTGCTCCGCAACATATTATTTATGTTCTACTACGCTGCAGGGTGTCGTGAGGAATGCATTATACAAACAGAGTGCTTAAAGCTATACTGAGAAGCCTTTGGCGTCAGTGTCCTTTTACATGGACTCAGAAGAAATTAATTATGGAGCGCCTTCACCCACCATCTGGACGTTAATTGCAAGGCCCAAATGATTTGGCATTGGAGACGTTTTAAGCAGTAATTCAAAATTTGCTCAGTGGTCTGTTGGATAGCAAGGAAGGCTGATGATATCAAAGCGAGTACTCTCCTGCATGTGCCTCGACAAGAAGCACTTAAAATACACAACACATGATCTGGACAAGATTATTGCAAGAGGGAATGTCCAGTACATGGGACAACTTGTGGCAAGAAAAATCATTTTGCTCAAATATGCAAAGCAAGAGAGAATAAGATGGAAGAACAAATACTATTTGAAGATATGAAAGAACAGAAACAAAAGATATGAAGGTGTGATAAGGAAGTGAAGAAACCTATAATCAAACATTTTGCTTGGATACTATAGAGAAAGGTTTGAGCACAGAATGGAAAGTTGATGTCAATGTCAATGGCATGACTGTGTAACTGACGCTGGTATTAAAGGAAGTATGCAAACCAAACCAAAAACAAATCTCATTCATATTGTTTTTGTTAAATAATCATTTTATTGTTAGAACATCATTTTATTGTTCACTAAATTCAAACTATCAAAAGTCCGATGTCAAGGAGAAAACGATGATCGCCAATCATGATCGGGTAAACTAATTTGCATAAATTGATCAGCAAACTTAATATACACACGGGTTTTTGTAAGTAAGTGTTACTGGAAATATATTTCACACAAGTTCTATCTGTATTAAATTGTGATAAAAAACAAAATTGGGCCATTGTAGAACTTGAATACAAATCTTGTAATCTACGTTACCGTAATATTACACCATAGACATTTAGAGAAGCTACTGGTGATACAATTACACAGAGTTATCATAGGCGGATCCAGGTGTGTGTGTGTGTGTGTGTGTGTGTGTGTGTGTGTGTGCCCCCTTGTCTCTGAAATATTATTAAAACACTATTGACACTCTCGTGAAAACGGCGGTGATCGGTATCTCAGACTAAGATGAATATGAAAAGTAAGTCTAATTTCTGAATACATCAATCTATAACAATGGGACAGCAGTACCATATCCCTTCATGGCCAACGACATTCACCATACCCTAGAATTTTCAGCCAATCAGGTGGCTCGTTTGCCCTTATACCAAATCGCTTGGCGTTACTTGATTCATGTCCAGGTGTTGTGCATGGCCCAATGCGATGGTTTTCAGGTTCTTACTAGTCTAAAGCAGGCATTGTCACTTCTCGCTCGCCTTTTGTTCTGACCAGATGCACCAACACGTCGCTGCTGCGAATAGTAATAACTGGCTGCATAGCCTATGATTGGTCTTCCGTCTCGGCTCTCGAACAGTATAGATATTTGACAATTGTTCTAGCTTCAAGGATTTTTCATCCCAGGGTTGCTAGTTCATAGTTAGGTTATTAATTAATTCTTTTCGGATTAGATTCCCTTTTCCATTTTCTAGTTACGTTGCCAAAATGGGGCTTCATTGTTCGTTTAAAGCGTTTTGTTTCAAATAAATTTATTTTCAGCTAACAGATGGTCAATGTACTATTGTGTTCAGTCCATAGGTTTTTTCCGATTTGAAATAGTTTTTGTGTACCTGTTGGGTTTAAATTTACCTTGTTGACCAAGTAAGATTGTTACATGCAGAAACATTTTATTATGGACGACCAGAAGCGTGTGGTTTTACCGGAGGCTGCATTCAGCATTAGTTAGTGCTGACAAACAAGTTTGGGAGTGTTTAGGTTTCAGTTTTCTTTGAGATCGCAGAGTATCAACCAGTTCAATTTACCTGACCAAGTACCAACGTGTGTAAAGTTTCCTCGCGATTCTGTGGCTGTTGGTCTTTATCCAACTGATGCTCCGACATCTCGACATCCAATAGCTTGCATTGGTGATGGAAATTGTCTCCTTCGAACCTTCTCCCAACAACTGATGGGTGATGAAGCTCACCAACTGGAATGCCGGGTGCGTATCATAAACGAGCTTATACATCAACCAGTCATCACTTGCTGCTATGTCAAATGGGAAAGCCAAGGAAAAGCAGAACATGTTACAGTTGTTACCTCAGCGGCTGATGAATCACTTGCGACTTTATCTATGTAACAAATCTTTCGAAAAGAGGTACTTAAAACTGTAAACAATGGACGGTATTCCTCTCTTATACACATATACGCGCAAGTAATGCTTTCCCGCGCAAGGTCATATAGGTTTATCCCAATATTCAGAGTGTAGCAATTGATCGACAGATCATGCACCAAACAATCACACCACTCGTTGGGGAAATACAGACCCCACCTGTATCATGTGGACCCACATGACCAGCACAAACACACCGGGGTTGAAACCTAACCACATTGTGGCCTGTATTGAAACTGGCGAGATGGAAAGTGAGTGTGCTTTGCCAGATACTTGTGCAAAAGCAGAGTTTACCGAAGTGAAAACAAAGAATCTGAGTAATATAGACTCAGCTGAGAGTGTATGAAAAAAACCACCTCACAAAGGCTCCACGATGTCTGGTTTCTCACAATCCGATACCAGGGATATGAAGGACAGCAGCAGTGAACCAGCTAATCAGAAGCCGAGAATGTCTGTGCCTGGCATTGATCCAGTTGAGACGAAGAGCACGTCTGTAGGGTATAAGGCCACTGACGTTCGGGATATTGTTTCGGGGAATGGTAACCTCAGTACTTTGAGTAAAGATCAAAGGTACAAATACATGAAACACCACTTTCATTCCAGTTCAAACAAGAGCCCGACCACAACTGAAACGAGTAACACGTCTTGTATTCCAGTATAGCTGGTTGGATAAGTACAGTTGGCTAGTGTACAGTCCAGCAGCAGGTGGAAGTTTATGTAAAATGTGTGTTCTGTTTCCGAACCTGGGTGATAAGCGAAAGTCCGCAGGGTCTTTAGTAAAGTAAGGGAAACTTTCTGGCCATATTAGATCTACTTGCAGATAGAGATGACAAACTACGTCGTCATTTAGAGTTGGGCAGAAGAAACGCCCATATACCAGCAAAACAGTTCAAAATCAACTCATTGAAATAGTTGGTGACCACATTTGCTAAGAGGTGGTCACTCAGCTTCAAACAGAAGGGGCTGTTTTTTCTGTGATTGACTATGAAGTCACGGATACTTTTTCAAATGTTGAGGTTCTTGGTCTTTGCCTGACATATGTTGATCAAAATACAATGACTATCAAAGAGACATTCTTTGATTATGTACATTTAGAAAGAAGAACAGGTCAGCAAATTGCAGAAGCTATCTTAACGTCACTGAAAAACCAAGGCATTGATATTAGACCAAGTGTCGAGGACAAAGCTATGATGGTGCATCCTGCATGTCTTCATCTCGAGTTGGCGTTCAGGCTCATATCAAAACATTGGCACCTACGGCTTTGTACACGCATTGCAACAGCCATGTTCTGAATCTGAGTATTGCAGCTTCATGCAAAATCTCTCCAATCAGAAACATGATGAACGTCATCAATCAAGTTTTTCTTTTCTTTGACGATTCATCAAAACGCCAGAGGTTTTTAGAGAGAGTTCCGAAAGCCTTTAGCACTGATACGACAAGAACTCGTCTTTGGGGATTTTGCAAGACTAGATGGGTTGAGAGGCATGTGTGCTTTGACGTCTTTGACATATTGTATAGCCACATTTGCACATGTTTTTATGCCATCCTATATCCTCGAAACCATGCAGACATTTATCGTGATGAGAATTGGGCATGGGACAAAGAGACCATAAAAGCACAAGGGCTTTTGACTATTCTGAGAGATTCGCAACACATCATGGCGTTTGTGGTGGCCCATAATGCACTTGAAGTTGTTAAACCACTGGCAGTCAAACTTAACAAAAGGGGCAACGACATTTTCATGGCTTACAAACTGATTGACGAAGGGGTATCAATGATCAGAACCATGGGGGCTGATGTGGATCAAAGGAGTGATGATTGGTATGACACGTGGAAGGCTGTGTGTATTCGCCACCTGTTCCCAAAACTTGCACTCTAAGCATGCCAGTCGGTCTCGGGTGAAAATGAACTATGCAAAAAAGCTGTATCCGCTCCTGGTTACATTTAAAGATACATAAGTGATTAACTGTTTCTTCGTTTCATTCATTATTTAAAGTACAGAAGCACAGTGAAAATCCATCCAAACTGTAACTACGTTGCCTGTTTAGTTTGATGTAGAATATCAACAATGATAAGCCGATTTAAAGTAAATAATCATTTAACGTTTAAAAGCCGTCATGCCACAAGTTAACATCCATAAAACTGTCTTATCTGAGTAATCCCGTTAGTGTGTGATGAACAACAAACACATTTCAATCAAGCCACAGAACAAAATGTCCGTCATGCCATTTGCTTTTGGCGCTTGGATGACTGCGCAAATTCTACTTCTAGAACCAGTGAACGATCAGTGCGAACCTATGTTACTTGTGCGTGTATACCGAGAAAAAGATGATCCTCCTTTGGAAATGCGGTCACGTAGATTACATAACGTATATTACACAGACATCCTTTAGCCCCCACCAAACGTTTCAAGTGTATAGGAAGAGCATCTCCTTCTCTCAGTTATTTCTACTGAATAGGTCCGTTCATTATAAAACTCTTTTGGTGACACTGGGTGTACAGTTTGTATCTTATGGAGTCACGTAGATTACATCCTTAACAAATCTCTACTTTAAACCTGTGAAGCATCATGGTGAAAAATCGGCTGAAATTTATTGGCTAAGTGATTGATATTGTATCGTCCCAATATAAGACTGTAAATAAGGAATACTATCTAATGAAGATATATAATTTTTAAATAAATATGGTCATTTTCATAGGGTAAGGTGGATTACATATTTATGGAGACATTATGTTAAACATACATTCTAAAATGTTAAACCATATGAAGATGTTCTAGGTATGGAGGAAAGGGACCATACCTTCTGTCGAAAATGTGTTTTGTTCACACTAGATGAATAATTACTTTGAAATATTCACTCAAAATGTTATACTTTCATTTGAGACATGCACATTTTGGTGATTTTGACTAACTTTTTACCCTGAGTCACACACATGAATAACAGATTATTAACAATTTCTATGTCTCGGATGCCTATCAAGCCTGTCGCGAAATATAAACATTAAATTAACAGGTAAAATCAGTAACAAAAATTCAATGCGGAGACACGTAAAATTACAAATGGTGCACATTTCGTGAGAATAGGTGTACCACGTTGTCCACTGTCATTGTGCATTGAAATGAACTTGATTAGGCCAACTTTCACTGTCAGTGAAATTTTTTTTTGTCGGAAACTAAGTGTGGATCTGTGCTCGAAGAACTTGGAACATTAGGTATGTGAGACAACATATCAAACTTGATCCTGAAATGAAGTATGTTATATACCAAGCGCGGAAGGTTGAGAAAATTGTGTTATGGGAATGGGCTGATACTCAACAGAAGTGCTTTGAAACTTTGAGTCCGTCATTACTGATGCCCCCGTACCCAAGCACTATGAAATAGCAAAAGAAATTAAGCTCTCAGTTGATGCCTCATCATATGGAGTAGGTGTATGTTTGAAGAAGCATGGAAGACCCGTTTCTTTGGGCATCCAAATCGGGTCACGTGATCACACATGAGTGCATGTGCTTCTGGGTGTGCATCACGTTTATCTATCGTAGTCAGATTACTTCAAACAGAGTTTGGGTTCAAAATTCAATTTGAATATTCCATGATCAATGATAAAAGGGTGATGCATTTCTAATAAATTTCAGTATATTAGGTTAAAGAGGGAAATGTTTCCTTCCCTTGTTTTTGCGTTAAGATTGTTCTTAACTAAGTTCCATCACAGATTACTTTCATTGTCTATTTTGCCATTCGGATGTATAACTTTCTTGCTTCTAACTGCTGTCATCATTTTCTTCTTAAACATCTAAATTTTTCCCAATCTCTAAATGTCGATTGCTCTAAAATGTAAATAGTATCTTTGGTATGTTACTGTTTATCTATTTTGCTTGCTGCTGAATCACACATTTTCTTTGGTCATTCCACTAACGCCAAATCATAACAGTGAACATAATTAGTATGCAACTGTGTCCACTTTACAATTTGACCAGAAGAAAGACATGCTATCCATCTATGTGGTTTGAGTCTATTAACACAATGCAATTAATATTAAATTTCGTATGCATGACCTTATTAGGCTGATGGTCTCCACATTCTGTCTGATGGGTACCTAAACATAGGCAGTTGTGGAATCTACTTCATTGAAACAGGTTCATACTAGCCACTAGCTCAAACTGAAACACCAGACACACCTGATAATCTGTATCTTGGATTTGAAAGCTGATTAAGCTGTACACGTGCTACCATGTTCATCTCTAAGAGCTTTACAGATAAACATGATAGTAAACAACTGCAATGGTTGTTAACATGAAACAGCACATGATGTGGGATATTTAAGTGATTTTGTAATGGCGATCAGTACAGATACAAACAGGAATAAACCTCATGGAACAGGAGTGTCAGATGGACACTGTGGACTGGTATCCATGAAAACAAGTAAAGTGACAATTTGATCCTATCCCCTTTCTCCTCTGATATGATATGTTATAAAGTAATAACCAGCATTCATCTAATGTCTTCTTCCTTTATGTTGATCCGAGATTCGCTGTGATCATTTCATCCTCAACCAGTGCTTTAATACTCACTAGTTCACATGGCCATGAACACTATGAGATATATGGGATGTATCGATAGGTCTTTGTTCTGGAACTATCATACTAGACATTGTTGTCATGGACAATATGAACAAAATAGAAGCAAATAGAAACATTGTATAATAGATTTATTCAATGGCAGTTATCAAAGAAATGTGGCTGAAAAATATTTAATCCAAGAAAACATATTGATCTCTAACTTCTCATCGACGGCAAGCTACGTATTGTGCAGAAGGCTGTGGGCTACTTAAACGCAGAGCAGGAACTGGGTCGCCTTGCTACAATGACGTTCATCGTATTTCTACACTTGGTCTGCTTGTCGTTACATATGATCAAAGGTGATGATTTCAAAATGTGTTTCACATTTGGGTGTGTTCGTTTTCAAAACAATTATTGTGTGCGGATTTTAGATTGCTTAGAAAATATTCAGTATGTATGAATACATGTTATAAAGTGTGAAAGGTGATGTTCATGTTTGGAAACACGACAATTATATCGTGACATGTCTTGCTGACTTACTTCGTCATCTGTGTTTAGCTTCGCTACACATAACGTCACCTGGAGACTGGAAGTTCATCAACACCTCCCGGTATGGCGTCGACATCAGGTCGTGCACGACGCTTCCACTCCAGATCAAGACCTGTGACCAGGCACATGTGTGGTTTGGGGACGGAACACCCACCAACTCCTATGAGATTGGCACCTTTTCGAGGGGAGAGACCGGATTCAGACAGTGTAGTGAATGTTACAGCACACAGATATTCTTCCCAAATCCACGAGGCATACACTGCGATGAATTCAGGTAAGATCACTGAATGTCTCAAAGTTACAATTTTTTCCAACAAGTAAAATTGTTTTTCCATTGTAAATATTTAAAAATCTCATAATTATTGATCATAGTTTCGGCGAGAGGGTTTTGCCGTTTCTTTTCATAATCCTTAGGATAAATTGTGTCCACTTAGGATAAAACTTAAGAACCTTATCAAGATTTCAGTTTGACTTTGAAGGCCACATAACGTTGAAAATATATACAAATGAATTACTGAAAATCAGTAATCATACCAGGTACACATGTCCCGCACTGACCGGTAGCATCGCCATTCACAGTTTGCATATGTAGAAAGTGATTCAATTACAAACAAAATTTACACTCACAAGAAGTTTTGAAGAAAATGGCTCTTATGGTCAACAAGCCAAAAATGTGACCAGGGTTCGCAACCGACCGTGAGTCCCAACTTCAACAATAATAAAAACTTGTTGACAACACTTCAGAGACATGTTACGAAACACCTATCATATATGCCTGCTAAATAATACATAAATTAGTTTCTTCCTTGGTCGCGAATAGCTGCAAAATTGCTGATGTGACGTTAAGCAATATTCACTACCTACTTGGAGAGTCACAGACTGGTCGCTCGCCCAAAAACGGGAACGCTCACATTAGCAGCCGTCGGGGAAGCGATATGGCATTAGGTGTATGAGCGGGTTAAAAGTTAAATAAGTACAGCTAATATATAACATTTGTTATATACTAGCCACATAAAGAAACTGTGCATTGTCAATATATTATCCCAGTTGATAAGTACGATAACAATGTCAAAGGTACATATAAACTTTAATGGAGGGATCATGAGACCATAACACGTCCGGAGAATTGCAATTGAAAAGTCAATCACAATGACGTCACGAGTCCACAAGCGGGACAGGGGGCAAACGACCAAGTCACAAGCTCAATAACGGGTATGTCCAGCATCGGCATTGAGAACATCAGTGCATCGACGACGCATAGAGCCTATCAAACGTGCAAGGAAGGCTTGTGGGATGTCACGCCAGTTCTGTTGCAAGGTCAAGGACGTTATCTGGCGGATGAGGAAGACGGCATAGACGTCGATCCATCTTGTCCCAAACATGCTCTATCGGGGAGAGATCCGGTGAATTTGCAGGCCAAGGCAGTAAGTCAACATTGTGGTGTTGCAAGAAATCCATAGCAACCCTTGCCGTATGAGGGCGAGCATTGTCCTGTTGGAATGTTAACCCAGGGCCATGACGTTGCAGAAAAGGAATTGCCACAGGTCGAAGAATCTGATCCCTGTAGCCCACACCAGTTAAGTTGCCCTGAACAATCACCAAAGGAGTTCCTAGGCGTGCTGTTATTCCATCCCAAATCATCACGGAACCACCACCAAAGCGATTCCTCTCCAAGACACAGGCCTGTGCATAACGTTCTCCCACGCGTCTATAATCACGTTGATGTCCATCACTATGGGAGATGTTAAACCTGGACTCATCTGTAAAAACAACATTTCTCCACCAAAACAAGGGTCTGCGGACATGATTTCGGCACCACATTCGGCGAGCTTGTCGATGACGTTGTGTCAGGATAGGCCGTATCGCGGGACGTTGTGGTCTGATCCCGTGATGACGTAAACGTTGTCGAACTGTGTTGGGGTGGATACGGCGAAGTCCTGGGATGGTTCAGACAGTCATCACTGCAGTCTGAAACCTGTGGCGAAGATGGGTCACCCTTATCCATCTGTCCTGTCTTGGCGTTGTTACACATGGACGCCCAGAACGTGGCCGATCAATGACGTCATTTGTGTTCTGGTAGCGTCTCTCCAGTGCAGAAATGGTGTTCCGGTGGCAGTGGAAATGTGCAGCCACTTGTCGTTCAGACATTCCCCGACGGACCATCCCAATGGCCTCAAGACGTTGTGCAGACGTGAGCCTTGGCATGCTATGCGTTTCAATAGCCGTTTACTTTTTTGAACGATCGCAAGGGCAGGGGTTGAGCTTTCCAAAGTGACAGTATTGTGTGGCATTCATTTGCTCTGTTTCTCTTTCCCGGAATGCACGTGCAACAACGTATTGCACGTCTCAAGGACGAACCCACTGATGTCACGGAACGTGGCACGTGCATGCATGTTGGATACATGTCCCTAATCTCTGAGTTTAAATCCTTATGTGTCTACACAGGTTTGATAAATTTTGATTTTAAATTTTGGTATGCACAGTTTCTTTATGTGCCTGGTATAGTTGGGATTACACTTTCTTAGTACAGCTAAAACAAAAATAAATGCAGGTACTACCACAAAATAAAAACCAAAAAATAATCACATTTTGATTTTAAAAATTACAGTGCATTGAACTTTTTATGTTAACCAAATTTAAAAAAAACGTCGATCACATAGATTTCATGTTATTTGTTGAACGAATTTACCATAGGAATTTTCAGATTTTTGGGTCTCAAAGTACAACTTTGTGAGGAAGGGCAACTGCTTACAGAGAGTCCGACAGAGACCACTAGGGGAAAGCGACGAAGTCAGGCTCTCCCCCTCCTTTACTATTCTGCCTGCTGGCAACTGGACAACTAATAATATGCTCAGCTAGTCATCTTTATTACACCATGGGTTTCATTGACACATCTCTTTCCAAGTCCATTGTTTGATTGTGCCAATCTGATATATCGAGTCATATACATAAAGAACAGATCTGCAAGAATGGAGTACAATTTGTACCCGTGACAATGCCTACTTCTTGCTTACGTAGCTACTCCCCTCTCTTCTGATAGATGTTACCAGGTGGGGTGTCCACGTACGTACACGCCCTTATGCAAACCGAAACGAACTTTCTATGGAAATTATGTCAGCATATATTTGCCCCGTTATGAGTTTGCTAATGCATGTTAACTGTTCCTTCAATTGGATAGGTAGCTCTGTACGGACGAAAAGGGTCGAACACAAATGTTTGAATATGGTGGGTAAAGCTAGTATTTACACAATATTGTAATTCTTTTATCGGGAATGGTTATACGCGTTTTGTTTTGACGAAAAATGTATATTTCCGATGTAGGCAGTTAACGGGATCTGATGTGTTGGTGTAGGAAGTAGAGTCTTGGAAACATTAATGTAGCAGCTTAAATGTCGCATATTCATGACTCTGATAGCTTGTCACTAATAGTGTTGATTCCCAAGGTTGAAACGGTAAGATAACTGAAATTCTGTCTATAAAACAACTCAATGTAAAACCAACAAACAACAAAGAAATGTGACCAGTTATCCAAACGTTGACAATCAATAGAAATCAGGTAAAGTGAATCACAATGATTGAACAAATTTTACAGCAATTGAAGAAACACACTGGCAATATAAAGGAAAAGAATTGGTTAGAGCAAATAGACAGTGCTAATAATATCTACCTCACTGCAAAGGTGATCAAATTTATAGAAATACGCCTCGGCTAAGGGTGAAAAATGATCTTCACATAACTGCTGGTCTTCTTGTAATGTGAGATCACTGCGTGAGGCAGGAATTGCTGCATGTACATTAATGTAAACAGCACATCGCTGGCCTGTACCAAAACGTAACAGAAACAACGTAACACAAATACAACCCTGACCGACTGCGACACAACTGCCATATATGATCTGAAGAATGTTTGTATTGTGTGTCTCGATCAATGTGAAAAGTTTACAACGAGTACAATTTAACGGTTTTGTAAAATGCACATAATACCCAACACATGCAACATAAACATGCAACATTGGAAGCAATGGTGGCTGAGTGTGTCAGATTGCTGACCTTGTATGCCAGCGCTGAAAGTGAGAATGGAACCCCGAATGTGGTCTTTCAAATTGTCTATCAAAGCTACTAGAATCGGTACTTTACTGAGTTAGTGTAAACCCAAATATAACTTCTGTTGCAGTAAATGGGATTTTGTATTCATGAACATGTAGTTTCGAAATACCTTCAAACAATCTTCTGTTAATCTTGTGTATATTTTCTTGCTGTGCTACAAATATTTTCAGGTGGTTCTGGTTCCAGTGGGGTGAAGGTCGTCTGAAGTTCGGTGAAAGTCGCACTGTTGGCTTGCAGCTGGTGTTTGATGAACCAATCAACAGACCCATTGAGGTGTTCAGTGTGTCATCATATGTATATACAGTGGAGTACATTCTGGGTAGGTTTTTCCTCTATTCCTTCTTCACTGAGAGTGTGAATGATATTGTCATTATCAAAACCCACACGAACACGTGGTACCTTAACCGTGAAGACCCCGGTTGGAATTGGTCTTCAGTAAGCCATGCTTGTCGTGAGATGCGACTAACGGGATCGGGTGGTCAGGCTCGCTGACTTTGTTGACACAATCATGTCCCCGATGCTGACGATGTCCATCACTGGATTGTCTGGTCCAGACTTGCTTATTTACAGTCTGTCTTCTATATCTGGAATATTGCTGAAATGGAGTTCATTGACAAACAAACATGCGAGTTATGATAATGAAGGGCGATGGATGCAGTATCTGACCAACCAGTAAAGTTTCAAATCACCTTGGCACCATATTTTGTAAACACCTGTAGGCGCTTGTAGGTATTTAAATGTGGCGATTTTGTATTCATTATTAACTCCTAGATTATTTAGACTGCACATATTTACAAATGTCTTCTCGGGCTCTCGTAAGGGTCTTTGACATTCAAAGAATTGTCTATAATCCTGTTTTAATTTGATGTGCGTGTACACCTCGGGGCTAGAAGTTAGTAGCAGATTTCGAAGTCATTATTTCCCGCATAATTACTGATAATTGGCATCAACTTCAAGAATTCATCAAACAGATCGGTGGTAGTTCAACATAGTGTATTGCCTCATGGAATACAATGAATAGCTCTGGTTTGCCATAACGAAATAGAACAACAAAGAGATAAAGTATTTTCAGCTGACATGCACATATCGTAAAGAAACAGAATTAAACAAAGAAGTATGAATTGATTTTTTGAATGGGTTGTTCATGACGAAGTAATAGAAGGAGGATGTCTGACTAAACTTCTGTCTATCCTACGGTCCAGATAAACACCCATTTCACATGTAGAACCATGTTATACATTTAGATATATCATTGATCCAGATCTCTCTTCTCCAATGCGGTTTTATCTGTGTATCTAGTCGTTCCCGATCCCTATGTCATCATTCAGCTCCCTGGGGAATGTACACCTCGACCTGTCTGCGGGCGCTGGAGGATATTTTTTACCGCTCCGCGTTAAGTGAACAGAGGCATATTTGAGCTTAGTCACCTGCCCACTCGTTTTGATACTGTTTTGTTTTTAGGAACGTTTCCACCATCGCATTTGGCTAAATAACAACCTTGCCACAAATGGAATACGAATACATCCGTTAGGGCTTCAAGCCTAACTCCGCGCCGCTTCAAAGTATAAAGCGATCAAAAGCGACACTTTACTTTCTAAAACGCAAGGCAAATCATGACTGTAAATCTCGAGGCACACCCTCATGATCAACACACTTGCATTGAGTGTAGCGTACGTAGTCCATTACGGAATAAAATATATTGCCATTAAATAAAATGGCAATCGGCTTCTGGCTCAGAGCTGGCAGTGTGTTTCACGTTTCAATGAACAAACAGCTTGAAGGCGGGTGGTAAGCATCGTCCACTTACGTACGCCACGTATATAGTATGACCAGAAATTATTGAGAATTTTAGGAATATGTTTAATTGGATTTCTAGTATAAACAACCTTGACCAGCTATCAAGTGCTTGGTTTCATTCAAGAGAGACAACTACGTTAATCCTTTTTCATTAGTTTGTGAAGAGTTATCCCCCTTTTGTTTACTTGCTAGCAGACGACATTCTCAGTGATCCTCAGTATGGATGATTTAGAGAAGAGGAAGTTGATTATTATAACAAGGACATCAGATCAGCTAAAGTGATTTCAAGTAGAACAGGCATCCCTTTGTCCACTGTTTATCGTCTTTTGAAAAAAATATTGCAAATGGATATGGCATTGAGCACCAGGGAGGCCCAGGTAGGCCCAGAAAATTGACTGTCGGTGACAGGAGGCGGCTTCGTATTCTTGTTTCTAAAAACAAACGAAGGAGTTTAGAAAACTTAAGCCTGGATATAATTGATAGAGGAACTCTGGCTGTCTGTAAGGAGACATGCAATGCAATGGGTTGGCAGAAATGTCGAGGAATTCCATCACCGATCATGAAACCTGAGCAAAAGGAGCAAAGGTTGAACAGGTGCTTACAGCATAGAAATTTTAACTGGGACAATGTGACTTTCTCAGATGAAAGTTCTGTGTAGCTGTTTCCTAATACACTGAAATTCTGTACCAAACAAACTGAAAAACCTTTGTATCAGCGCCCAAAGTACAGCATATGTAGGGTGGCATATCTGTGTTAGGGGCAACGCCCCTCTGTGTATTTGAAGGGAACATGAACACTGAGCGGTACACAGATATTCTCGAGGGACATTTACTTCCATCTGCTCACGTGTTCTATGGAAATTTTTGGATTTTCCAGCAGGACAACGACCCAAAACATCGTTCAAAGCATTCACAGGCCTGGTTTCGTACCCAAAATATGACATTATTAGATTGGTCAAGCTATAGCCCTGATCTAAATCCAATAGAAAATGTTTGGGGAATTATGAAGGAAAGTGTCAATAAGAAAAATCTGACAAATATTGCTGAAATGAAAGAAGAGGTGGTCCGATATTGGGACAGCATGGACCACGACTTTCTAACTTCTTTGATCAGTAGTATGCCCCGCCGCATTGAAGCCTGCATTGCTGCCCATGGTGACTTGACAAAATACTAACTGTTCACCTGTCTTTGAATCTGGAGTTATGTTCTACTAATATTCACATTTAATACGTGAGTAATGAGTGACATTTTTTTATAAAACTTACAATCTTAAATTCTCAATAATTTCTGGTTGTACTGTGTAACTACCAGCAAGCTTCTTACATCATAACTCTGACACTTCTGCTATGCATTTGTGTTTGCAGGTGAAGGGTATGAGTCGCTGTATGGAGTAGCTAGCAGAACTGGAAGGTACTCCGATGGGCTGTTGTACGAGACCAAGGCTTGGAGTGGCTTACACTGTGGCACACAGTGTCAGGCACACGGACACTGCCACATGTATAGCTACAACAAAGAACAGGCTGTCTGCGCCCTCTACAACAGAGACATGTCATCATTCAGCATGACATCTGTAAATGGATGGGTTTCGTACCAGCTTCGTTATTGTGACTGACCCCTTTATCCTGACTTTATCTTTCATATATTGGCTTCGGTTAGAAAATATAGAATATATGACTTAAATATGTACCTGGAAACTTCTGCATTTCCCAGTAAACTACTATGGGCACATCAGGTTAAAACAACTATTCATGAAGCAGACACCAAATGTATTATTTCAGAACTCTCTACAAGAGCAGCTTTAGCACGGTATAACCTTACTTATGAAAACTGTCCGAGCAGGTTGTGGTGTCTTGCCTTAGAAAAACATCTATGCTTCTTTGATATTACAGTACTATTACACATCGGTACTTACGTAATTCAATCTCATGAATGTCTTTGTGGTACGTTTGCCTATGACATTGTTAAACATGTATTTCTTTATTTTAATGAAAGGCAGTATGAAAGAGACACACTAACTGAAGATTTAATCGACATTCTTGATGTAGAAACGTTTAGTAACCTTTGGAATAATGATGACGATATATTACGCTGTTTTCTACTTGGGGGTCGCCCTACTCAGTGCACGAAGGACCTCGACTATGAAACATGGACAATGTGCATAAGCCGAATATGCAGAACTATTAAGGTGTGGAAACGATATTTCTATGAATGTGTATAATTTCTGACATGTGTAAATACCATACACATAATACCAATGTGTATATCCATATAATACCATATTGATCTACTTGTTGTAATGTACCTGTAAACCTTGTATTTATCTTCATATGCTATGGAGGAAATAAAGTATATCTATCTATCTATCTATCTATCTATCTATCTATCTATCTATCTATCTATCTATCTATCTATCTATCTATCTATCTATCTATCTATCTATCTATGAAGTTTCTGTCCACTGGCGCATGGAGATTACAAAAACACTACAGACTATGTGATACACTAGTTGCATACAGCATGTACATATACGTTAACTGCACCACTGATTCTTTCAACAACGAATCGTACATTTCAGTTGTACCAAGCGCCGCATATTATTATTACTTGCGTTAAAGATATTAACAAAAACATCAGTGTCGTTCAAAAGCTAGTTCTAAATAGAAGCGACAAAACCCTTTCCACATTCATAAGAAATCTCTACCAAAAGCAGAGTCGATTGTATCATTGTGACTGTATATTGAGCAGATATTTGTTTCAGCAGTATTACAGCTGTATGATGTTGTTTGTAAACAAATCGGGTCTGAACCACAGAGTCCAGTGATTGTCACCATGCGATACGAACAGAGCATGTGTTTATGAATCACTATGAAATAGTGATGATACCAGGTGTTTGCGAAAAGGTGAGCGTATCCTGCCCCACCGGTGGCACCCGTCATAAACATATGCTAAGTCTAGTCATGTGTTTACCTGAAATAATTCGGGAATGTAAGTGAATTGTATCGGACATCATTTTTGTCACTGATGCAATCGCGATAGCGATAATCTCTTGGCTAAAAAACAAGTTGAAGTTGTTTCTTTTGAGCTACCATGCCGCAGTAAATCATGAATTCCCCACTCAGACACATTATACTGACTCAGAGCCGACCAGTCCTTGTTGTACCCATTAATGCCGAGCGCCAGGCAGGGACGAACAAGTACCATATTTTAACGTCTTTTAGTATGACGCGGTCGGGGATCGAACCCGCGACCTTCCGCTCTAACCACTACACCATGGAGGCGGTCCATTTATCAACGGAAGCCAATTACTAAACTATCGATAGTCACACATACTATCGATGCATCGATAGTTTTTCGTTTCTACCATCGATTAATTGCTATCGGAGACTCAACAATTGCAATCCATCGATAGTTCGATGCATCGTTACAGCATAGATCTAAATATGAAACAGATGTCTGCGGGCTCACTTGTCTCCTTAATTCAAGTTCAGGTCGGTAAATCGTTGGAAGGCAATTGTCTATTTGATCGTTATTGAACTTAAATTTATCTTCTTGGCTAAATTACCGTTTGATTTTGCCAACCCAAGCTGAAATTCTGATTCATATGCATAAAGAAACAGATCCGCGAGAAGGGGAGCACAATTGGTGCCCATGGGGATGCCTACGTCTTGGCGAAATGTTTTACCCCCAAACACAAAGTATTCTCAATGACAAACACTATTACACGGAATAAATTACCACGAAACAGAAACCCACTGAACTGTGGCTCTGTCATACAGTGGCTGTTACTGTTTAAATTTGAGAAATGTGAAGCAAGCTTCGTTTCGTTTTATAGACTTTCTCTTCCACCAGTATCTGCCAGATGTAACATATGTTATATTTGGGATTACACTTTCTCAGTAAAGTACAGATTCTAGGCGTCTGACCTTGTGTGTTGGCGATTAGGTGCCTGACTATGAGGGTGTGGGTTCGAATCCCGGATGGGACTCAACCCCCAAAAGTACTAGAACCTGTACTTTACTGAGAAAGTGTCATCCCAAATATAACATATGTTACATTTGACCACTTTCTAAACTGGTATTGTGTATTTCATAGCTTTCGGCCGTGGGAGCCGAGCCAATTAACGCTTATCAGAGGGGTACACAAAGTCCGCAGTCTAGACTACCAGTTGTCCGACTTCCATTTTTGTGGAAGCCGCGGTGGCTGAGCGGTCTAGGCGTCTGACTCTGTGTGCTGGCGATTAAGTGCCTGACTCTGAGGGTGTGGGTTCGAATCCCGGTTGGGACTCAACCCAAAAAAGTACTACAATCTGTACTTTACTGAGAAAGTGTAATCCCAATATAACATGTGTTACAAATGATAGTATATATCATCACATTCATTACTCTCCGTGAAATGTAGGCATTTGATTTGACAGTCGCCGAGTTCTAAATATTCCATCCATTTCAACAGCTTCGTCATATCTATGTTACGTGTTAGGGGAAGTCATTTAGACAAGAATAAGGCGCACAATTTGGCACCAGTTGAGTTCCCGTTCCTGCGAAGCTGTTTCGTTATGCACATGAAAGATATTCCTTATGAAAGCGGAAAGGGTTTCGTCGCTTTTATCAAAACAAGCGACGAAAAACACTCCCAAGGTCACAACAAAACGTGAACGTCTCTTGTCTTATTGGAGGCAAAGGCAAGTATATCAGTAATGTTCACCTAAAACAAAGCAAGGAACTCCCCGTGCACACCCCACAAATCATCAAACACACACACATAAACCACCGGAACATCATACAATGGAATATACAAAAAATGCATTGTGCATCGTATTTGTCACAGATTTCGATATGTCATCGCTTTGCTCTCGTTACACACTATGGCCTGCAAAAAATCATTTATATGACCTTCGCCCGAATCGTTCGGTTATGCAAACACACATGAAGAAAGTCGGAGGGCCTGATCTTATTCAGAATCTCAAGCAGCCTAGGTTCCGTTCTCTCAATATTCCACCTTTGGTCATATCTTCACGTTGAAGGCTTTTGTTCAAAATATCTCTGTGAGCCAAAATTGAGATTTCATTTTGTATTCACTGATTTTAGAAAGGCGTGTAATTGTGCTGACAGGAAAGAATGCTATATGTACACTTTCAAAAAGGATGTCAAGGTAAATCTGTTAAAAAGTATGTACGCTCCTGTGAAAGCAGGTTTAAAGGTGGGTTTTGTTTTTTAACACCTTTTGTAGGATAACACAAGGCTGCGTGTTGAGACAGTCCTGTTTATATTCTTAATGGGCTTGTGCTAGAAATGTAAGCTGCTTTTGATCATGGTATATAATATTGAAGATCTGACGTTACTCTTATTTGCCGACGGCATTGTACTTTTCCACTATACTGGTCTGGGCTTGCAGGGATAGCTGGATGTTTTGAATATAATTATCAATTTATATTGAACAGTAATTTGTGTGTAATCTAGACAAATCAAATTTTATTCTATTTAGAATGGATGGACAATATCTCAGTAAGAATCACGCACACTTGGTAATGTGAGGTAACTTACTATAGACATCTAGGAATTATGTTCATGGATGATATATTGCACAGCAATGGGACCTGCTATTGCATTTGCTAAGTAATTAACGATTTATGGATTCCTCCACCGCTTGTAAATTATGTGGCAGTAACATTGCCCCAATACTGATGTATGGTTCAGAAATATGGCATATTAAATATCATAACGAAATTGAAAAGATAGATGAATACAATTTGATGCGTCTTCTCGGTGTGAATACATTACAAATTTACAAACAAAAATATGTAAAACTAACAAAGCTATTCTGGTGAAACCGGATGTCACTGTATGTTTGTACATACGCAAAAAGGGTATTTATGTACTTCATTAGTGGGGTTTTCAATTCTCCTCGACAAGTTGATAAGTTATGTCTTGTATTTTTGGGACGACGTTTTACTTCCAGGAACCATTTTAGGAACCTCCTACTTGTTTTCGGGGTAAAACATCATTTAAAAGAAAATCGATACGAAACTATCCAAAGATTGAACCTAATGTTTGCGTAATAAGAATAATTCTGCCAGATATTAGTGCAGAATAAAATAAATTTCGTCACCTATATATTTCTGCATGAAAAAAAGATCTTCAAGAAAAGTCAGCAATAATGAAAAATAATGAAACGTTAAGTTTTGGGATTCAGCTCCTTTGATCATAACCAATGTTCTAAGAATGGGCTTGAGAAGTTCGTAGGGCTACGAACGTTTCGAGAATAGCTAGCCTGGCCATTTCAAGCTGTATTCATGTTAAACGTTGTGCTTATTCATTTTAACTGTCGAAATTAAGCACAGTTGCTCTCGTGTGTTGAATTCAACGTTTCAATTGTCTCTGTTAAATATGCTCTGGTGCTTTGCGTTGTTGTCTGTATCTTAAAACCTCAAATGGGAAATAAAGTACCGGTATGATCTTATCCTAACATATCGTATCAGAAGAAAGATCGGGTTGTCATCAGAGCCCACATCATCTACAAGTCTACGGACCATGCTTCGTGGTGACATCCGATGAACAAGACTAACTCCCGCAGAACTATTCGTCGTTTCATAATATATCCATTTTAGTTTAGCAC